CATCCAGGCATACAGATCCTGGTACTCCAGGTAACACTACATAGGGAATGTGTCACCAGTAGAAACAGAGCACTGGCTTTCTGTGCTGTCATTTTGAAAATACCAAGGAGTCTTTGTCACTGCTTTTACTCGATTTTAGGGGTTAAATGCCGTGCATGATTAAACACACCTCTCCTGACTGGTGACTCCTTTAGCTCTCAACATGAGTCAGTGTTTCTGTAGCAGAGATGCCTGGGTAACCTGGAGTATCTCAGTCTGTGTCTTTTTCATTGTTTCTTATTCATTACAAAACACACCCAGGTTTTGAAAATTTGACATCTGCCAAGGATAGGTGTTAAATGACTCAATCAAATACAAAACAGTAGTGAAAAAATACAGTTCTTGAAGACTGAGACAGTACACGTAGGACACCATTAGTTTTAATGATTCATATCATCTGCTCACATTGACTTTGGCTGAGCTTTTCATAAAAAAAAGAAGAAAGAAGGAGGAAAGTTATAACTCCTCCTAATCACATTTCCCAGTGATACGGCGAAAGAAGGATCATTTCAACATGCAGACATAAGAAGTCAGGACATAGCAGATCCACTTCAAGGTCCCTGTTTGCCCTTGCAATTTGGACAAATCATTAGGTCTAGGTTCTTAAGGAACTAAGATAAGTCAGCTTTCTGCAGGCTCTCCCCTCTCTAACAACATATATAACATTCTTCCCTCTGTAATAATACCAGCGTGTCTATTACTACAGCAGTTAGGCCTTTCTGACGGCATGCTGAACCACCAAATTTCAAGTCTCACTTATAAATTAAGCAGAGCAGGGTTTTGAATCTTGCTCTTCCATCCTAGAAATAACAGAACCTAAATTTTTGATTCATTAGAATATGCACAAACATGTTGATGCTACTGTGCTAAGCCTGTATCCACTGACAGCCTGTAACCCTAGACATGCTCTCCATGCACAGAAAAGAGAGAGCCCAGCTAAGGAGACAGACTAATTTTGAGCAGGTTTTGCCTTCAGTCTCAGTTCCAGCACAATAACAAGGGGATGACTTAAGTGGTTTTGGAGTTCTGTTAATGCCACCTGGCCATAAAAGCCCAGAAGCAGCTCAGTGATGTATCTGAGCACATCACCAGCAGTTAGGCACCCACAGGGCAAGTTACATATATTTACAGTGTCTAAGACAATGGCTCACAGATACTAGGAGAGGTTTTGAATACTCTCGTTGTTTAATGAATTTGGGTAAGCTACTCAGAATTTCAATAGCAATTCACATTTCACAGAATTGAGTTTGCTTCTGAGTGCCATGAGCACAAAAGAACAGTCTCACCACGGAGCTTAATATCACACAATTTCTTATGAAGAGATGCAGGACAACATGCTTGGACAGCAGCTGTGGAAGCTTACATCACGGTCTCAATGACAGAGCAGGAGCTGAGCAAGTCACTGACATCATCTAAATGCAGAAATTATTTAAGGTTGAATGTAGGAATTTATCTTGGAAGTGATAAAATAAGAGATCTCTTCTGAGAGATATTGCTCAACAATTTACCATTTGTACTTTGGCCTACACAATTATATTTTGATACAGGTCATGAAATGCTTTCATTGGAGATACTGAAATGCATACTAGAGTTTCACATTTTTTAAATTTCTTAATGAAACTAGGGCTGGGACAATTAGTGCTAATGTATTAAAGGCTTACATACCTGAAAGGTATAAGGCTATCCTAACTTACAGTCTGATTTTCCATTTCATCAATCTTCTATGTTGATCACCATGCTCTACACATTTCTCTAGGTAAAAAAATTAAATCTCTGCAATAAGCAAATCTTCAGTCATCAAATGACCTTTTGTTAATAGACAAATGTCTGACAGAACTGGATTAAAACAAGACATAAGCAGCTTAGTAATTATTAGAATAATAAAGAATTATTATTTAATATTGAAGACTATTAAAGAAAGTAAGAAAAGAAAACACAAGCAAATTTCAACAATTCAGAGCATCAACCCCAAAAGTTGGAAGAAATGCAATGCAGTACTGCATTTTTAACATAGGGGATCATTTATCATGACACTTGAATGGCTCTGACAATACAAATTGCTAATGTGGTATTAGTTTAACCAATTTAGAGAACAAATTAGAATAAAAGGGTATCTTGCACGTCAAATTGCTACAGTTATCCATGGCAAGGCAGAGAAATAGCTGTGAAAAATGCTCTTTCAGCAGCAGAAAAGGCAAGGTTACACAGGGTACAAAGAAGCCCCATTGAATACAACACTCTATAATGCTCTGCCACACAAGTAGAAAAATGTATTTACAACCACAACATTGCTGATCTTCAGACCCTATCTTCTCCAATGACTTATTACATCTTTTTGTGTGGGGATCGGTTTTTTTTGCTGAGTATGAGTTTGTTGTTGCTGTTGGCGTTTTTGTTGGGGTTTGGCCTGGTTTTGTTGGTTTTTTTTGTTTGGCTTGGTTGATTGGTTGGTTGGTTATTTCTCCAGGATTACCATACACGTATTGTGGAAATATTTAAATGCAGAAGCCAACTGCACCTCCCTGGGACACAGAACTTGCAAGCTGTGAGCTAGCGACAGCCATTAGCAGAGCTGACACATGGCCAGGGCCAAGAGGAAAGCTGCAAGCACCTTATATCCAAAGCAATGGGGACATTTCGTGTTCTGGTGCCATCTTCCACATAAAATAGCAAAATGTGATCATTTAATATTTCCAAGTAAATTCTCTATTTTTTTCATTTGTTTCTTTTAAAGTGCTTCCTCCCATTCTCCTGTTTTCTTTCCAAGATCCTTAAGCCCCTAATGTAATAGAAAAGGCAGCCAAGGGAAACAATTCTTTCAGCAAGGAACAAAAAGAGAGTCTTATTCTTTATAAATATTGGCATGTAAAAAAGAATAGTAAAAATCAAAATGCAGAGATGGGAATATGTATTTGAGGAAACAGGCACCAAAGTGAGGAAGATTTTGTTTTCATCTTTTCTCTTTAATCCCTTTCATACTGTATTGAATGTAATCAAGCAAAGCCAAGTCAATGAAAGGTTTTATAAGGAGGGGACAGTTCCCACCTTCAGAAGTGACTGAGCATGTTAAAAAAGATTTTAAAAACTTAGGTAATTTCTCAAGTTCTAAGCATAAACACATGCCTGTGGTTCAAACAGACTGCCTTTCTAGGGCCCAGTATTTGATTCAAAAGTCAGAAGAAGAATTCACGTGCATATAATTTTGGACTTGTATTAATATTAATTAATCTCAACTGCTTTTTCCAGTTGAAATTATTATAGGTTAAAATGGTAAAGAAAAAGAATAAATACTGCTTGCCCAAGCAGATACCAAGATTATACACATTAAGTCTGGAATCTACAAACAAAAACCAGAGTCCTTTCCAGAAGGTACAGCAAGTTCTTTAACATATATAGAGGCAGGTATCATGAGGGAGGTAAGATTACATCAATTATATTCACTGTTAACTTCAAAGCATGAATGCACGAGATTTTCCTTCTGCTCAATACAGCTGCATTATTTATTTAATTAGTATTAAAATACAAGCTATCTATAAAAAATTCAGTTCCTCAGCATGTGTCTACACTTCAGCCTGCTGCCCAGTGTAAATATGAGCCGGCTTGCTTGCCAAGAACACAATATCTGCTTCAGCCAAGAGTGGGGAAATAAGCTCTGCTGGTAAGGATAGGCACTTTCCAGTCTCCAACCTGGCTTGCTTAAGACAACTTTGGATTTTACTGTATCACACTGTTGCTGGCAGTGCTGACATACCCTCATTTTAACAACTCTGTGGACAGCAAAAAGCTGTCAGCAAAACACACAGTGGCTCTCAAAACCAGCTTCAGAGCTGAGAGCTGCTAGTGAATAGCAGTCTCTGTGAGAGCAGCATGACTGAACCAGCATACAGAGCCCCTGTGATTAATATTCATGCTACATATCCCAGTACAAATAGGAGATGCCAGTCTGATTCAAAGCTCTCTGAAATTGATGGAAACCTCTCCATTGACTGCCACAGTCTGGGTTAAGTCCCAAGTGTCCAAGTGTGTTTATACCTTTTAAAAAGAAGGAATTCACTCTCCACATGTTTCAGTCCCTCACATTTATTGTCAGCAAACCTCTGGCAAAAAAATGCCTTTCTCTGCAACTCTGAGACTCTGAGAGTCTCTGAGACTCTCATTGAAGCCAGTAGGAGCTATATATACAGAGATGGAGGACATAAACTCAATGTAAAACCAATAGCATACTGGAAAGAATCTTGATTTTGAAACCACATGAGACAAAATTCAGTCATAAATTGAGTGAATTGAGTGTTTCTTTGTAAGAAGTATAAAATAATTCAAGATTTTGTATATCTGCAGGTTAAGAAGAAAATTTTCAATGAGGCACACTGAACCTTCAATAATATAGCATTAAAAAAGCACATTTCTGTAGATCTAATACCATTATAACCATCTTCCTTAAACACTGTAATTATATCCTCCAAATCTACGTACCCAAAAATTAATTAAATATGGCCACCTAAATTACAATATGCAAACTTTTTTTTTGTAGTTATTAAAGGCATTTAATTCTACTCATAGATGTCTTTGTTAAATGCAGATTGACAATCAAAGAATAAAACCTCATTTATTTTTATGCTACTTCATAAATTTTCTGAAGCCCAAGTCCTCTCAAAATAGTGTACAATAATTGGATTAAAACTACCTTCAAATACTTTCCATCACGTCTTTTACATGAAAACACCTTGCAAAGCCCACAATGTCTATATAATCATTTTACAGTGATTATCAAAAAACCCACTACAGAATTAAAATAAAGTGGATTGATATGGATCCTCCTCTTCAACCAATGAAATCCTAGCACCATACAAAATCTAATTATTTAAAACTGAGTGCTGGGTCTCCTTCTCTCTCTCTTTCTTTCCATTTAATAATAAAACAAATTATTTTCCAAAGCATGACTGTTAATACAGAGTGGTTTCAAGAGTAGTTTTTAACAGTGATTTTTTTTTTCCTGCATTTTGCTTCCAGAAGAAAAATATAAAGTAAAAAAAAAAACAAAAAGGAAAAAGACACAGGAAATAAAGTCCTAAGGTCAATTAACAGTGAGTCCCCACGGAAGCAAAAGTGGACATTTCGCGACGGATGGTACTGAACGGGGAGAGCTCCAGTTCTGTGGTGTACTCGTTGTCATTGTCATCACTCGTCACTGTGGAAGACTTCTGGATGCATTCATCACAGCAGCAACAGCAACACTCCATAAAGGCCCGGCTGAAAGGTTTACAGAGACAGAACAGCAGAACTGGGGTAACACAGGACTTAAAGAACAAAAGGAACTGACTAATGAGATGGAGGAGATCCATAGTCTGTTGAGAGACCCCTGTGGACATGTAAGCAGTCACAATGTTGCAAATGTTTTCAGGAATAATGCAAAATCCATATAAAATGGTCAAAGCCACCACTGTGCAATTCATCTGACTTTCCAGCTGAATTTGTCGCTTGTTCCCCCTTGTGCAGGCTTTTTCTGCCCTCCTGATTTTCCTCGCTGTCACCAGGGAGCAGGTAATAGTGAACAGGGTAGGCAAACAGAAATAGCAGCCAAAGTACCACCAGAGCCGTGCCCCGTCGTAGGTGAGAGCCAGCACGTAGATGGTGTCGGGCAGCGCCGTGGAGATCTTCACCACGCAGCGCTCGCCGGGGGGGCTCCCACTGTACTCGGGGTCGTCCCTGGCCAGCTGGCGCAGCACCACCTCGGGCAGGGCCAGCAGCAGGGCGCCCACCCAGATGACGGCCAGCTTGGCCGTGGTGGAGGTGCAGTTCTCGATCATCTCGTAGTACATCTGCACGTTGGTGGCGGCACGGAAGCGGTCAATGCAGAGAGCACACAGCGTGAACGTGGTGACTCCCAGAGAGGCCACCTGGCAAGGAGGAAAGGCAACACAGGTCAATACAGGTGCTGGCCGGGGGAGGCAAAGAAAAAAGTGGGGGAGAAAAGGGAAAAGAAAATGAGGGGAAAAAAAGACGGGGGGGAGGAAGAGAAGCGGTTGAGCACCATGGTGCTGAACACCATCAAAAGAAGCGTCACAGACAGCACTTCTTCCAGTGTTTGCTGAGCTACCGTCCAGCATGCATTCCAAAAAGAGTACATGCTTCTATTTTTTCACCAACAAATTCTTATTCCAGCTTGGTGTCAACCTCTTCAGGAGATCCAAACTGTGCAACACTGAGTGGAAAAAAATATAGAGGAATTGACTGAAATTTAAAACTAAACTGCTTTCTCCCCTACTTTTTTCTAAGGAGTGTTTTTCAGAAAGATTGGTTCCACCACAGGGGTTGGAATTTTAAGTCAAAATGAGAGAGATAGGAGAGTCTTCCTTCAGCAGAAGTTACGACCGCATAACAAGTTCATGATGCATGCAGGGGATCAAAATATTAAACCTTCCATATCCACAAAACTTAGAAATCCTAGGGATGAGGCATCTACTGAATTGAGTAGGTTCCAACAACTATTTTTGTGGACTCAGGCTTTTAAGTGAAATTTTGATGGGATGTAGGCACATAAAGTCATCCCCTACCAAGAGTTCAAAGAAACTGTATTTGAAACCCTCAGACTTCCAGAGCCTGTGCAAAACCAATCTTCACTACAGTAGTTAGGCTCTATATAACCAATAGTCAATATTACTTTAGAAAAAATTCAAGGAAAACCCAGGCTTAATTTCATAGGAAACATTCCTTGAGAGAGCATACTGTAGGGCAAGAGAAATGGAAGAAGTTTCATTCTTTAAATGATTTAAAGATGGATTGGAGAGAGCTGTCAATTATATGCTGTGAGGAACAAGTACAGAGCTATACTTATGTGCTCTTGCTTTAATAATCATTATTCTATGCATTAACAGAAATCTTGTGCTGTCATGAAACGTCATTTCCTATCATTTTATCCTGTTTATAATTTAATTTCCTAAAATTAATTTGCAAGAAGACTATATACATTTTGACCTAATTACATTAACAATAAATTCAACTTCAGTTAAAATTTAAAGCAGAACGCCCATTATCTTCAATTGGAGAAAGACTAAGTGCCCTGTTGAATTTTAATTCACTTATTTTCTTGGATTTGCAAACATGTATTATGCTGAAAATGTGTTGATGCAGAAGGAAAAAAGCAGTTAAATAATATTGCTAATAAATGTAAAGAATGCTTACTTTTATAATGAATGAACCATATCCGTGCAATGAACTGTGAAATCTAAAGTAGTATTAGGCAGTTCACTATAATTTTGCTTATCAAAATTTGATGTGCGATGCTATGTTTAACTTTCATATAGGCAGCCTTTAAGAAACACTTTCTGATTTCTACCATAATACTGAAATAGTATTGTTTTTGCACCTCTGAAAAAAGGTCTGCAAAGACAGCACAATTATGCACAATTATATAAATGTATCGTTAATTTTGGCCTTCAATATTTAATGGCCATATCAGATTACTAAAATTGACTATCACTGAAAAATATTGGGCACTTGGGATAAGAACGGTAAGATGTTGGCTTGGTTGGAGAATTCTCTGGAGCAGCTTCCTAAAAGATGGAATAAGTAAGATGCAATCTCTTACTAATTAACTTGGAGAAATATTTAATAATGACAAGGCACTACTGTAAACATTTTTAATAAGCAACCATTGATTTGGAAGTTAAATTGTCTGACAAGATTCAAAGAAAGCTTGGTAAATACAGCAAAAAAATAAAAACATTTAAAGAAAAATAGTTACAGGGAAATCTTAATGAACAGTGATAAACTTCGCTAATGAAGTATCACAGCTCAGTCAGATTTTTAAATTCAAGATAAGCAACTTTATTTCCAAAACATTTAAATTGTATGCAGTCTTCAAATCTCTCAGTGACAGCAAAACCTTTAGCCTTAACACGCAACGTGAATAACAAAAGGGTCAGGACTCAGCTTGCTACAATTATAAGAGACAGAGAAATAATTGAGATCTGGAAATGAACAGGGACTGAAATCAAAACCAGCAAAACAAAAGGAAACCTGAGTGTCTGTACATTAAGATGTTCCCTTCCAGCTCTGGCATGAGCCTCCCCCCACCCCAACGCAGACACTGGTGTTGTTTCAGCATTTCATTGCAAGCAGACTGTTACACATTAAACTCTGCAGCTGGTGGGGCTGGACTAATGAAAGAAGACATGTCTGCCATGAACAAACATAACCTACGGGGTTCCTGTCACATTAACTGACCAACAACTTGGAGGCTTAAAACAGGGAAATAGAGCAAGAGGAAACAACTAAGAATACTGGAAGGAGGCTTTGAAAACCCTCCCGTGGATTTACTGATGAAACAAACTAAACAAAGCCGGTGTTTCCCTGGAACAAGCAACAGTTTCCTATTTTCTGGAGATTAGTGGTGTTAGTGATGCCATGGAAAAGCTCACAAAAACCAAACAAAACCACTCAAATAAATGATCATGGATTCACTCCAGCTGACTTGCTTAAATGCAGTAGAGCAATTCAAGGGTTGGATTACTTACTCCTCACAGCAGACCATGAGTAATAGCCAGCAAAATCAATGGGTGCTGCTCAAAACCTACAGGTGAGAACTGGGACATGCATTCTGCATGTTCACACAATTTCAGTTTAGGTGTGTTTCTTCATACCAGCCACACTAATAATTAGATTTAAGCTGAAACTATGAAAGAATGCAGAAAAGTTTTCTTTTTTTAGTGCTATATTGCCTTGAAACAACTATAGAATTAAGGTTATTAACTTGACAGAGAGAAGGTAAAGCACAAATTAATAATCATAATGTGGTGCAAAGCCGCATGGAGTTTAATGGTGCTCTTGTTGTAAAAGCTGAGTGTCTGATATGATGTTGCAATCTTAATTCCACCAACCTGTCAGGAAATGAGGCAAGGTAAGGGCAATTCGGCTCAGTAGTTTTTGATCATCACTTAGTTGTCTGGTTTATTTCCATACTGTCCACTGAAGACTGTCCTGCAGCCTCTAGACATTCAGGATGACATCATTTTACAACTTTCTCTTACTACATGAAATCAGAAACGTCCCCAAATTTCCAACTGAATGACCATCAATCTGCTTTGAGGAACTGGTGAAGGAGACCCTGCTTTGAGGAGATACCCACACCATTTGCTGTTGAAGGGGTTACCAGCTACAGCATACACACACAGAGGAAGACATTATTGTTACAAAAGACTCCCTTTAAACATTGATGCTCTTTAAAAAGCCTTGACAGGGTTAGTGGGCACTGTGATGCCCCTTTAAGATACTGCATAAACCTTTGGTCATTAGCTCATCAGCTGTTAGTCAACTGTGTCAAAACTGATTTGGGGAACTGAGGCCACAATAAACAATAAAAAATAATAATAAACAATAAAAAACAATAGCAAACTCATGAAATGCTCAGCATAATTACTGTTCTCCTGTCCATCCTTCCAACATACCAGTTCCCCTTTCATAAACTTTAACAATGACCAAAATGTTCCCAGGCCTTTCCTGGCGTGCCCTACTTCTTCTCCTGGCTGTGGTCCCACAGCTCTTGGCCCTGGCCTCCAGGAGCAGAGCCTGTGGCTGACCAGCAGAGCTGTGTAAATGTGTTACAATGAGCTATGGCTGTGGAAATAACACCCAATTTTCTCCCACTAATTTCCAGTCAGAAGTAATGAAAACCAGAAACAAAATCTGAAACGGTGACTTGGGTGAAAAGACCAATAAAGACCAAAGTCTGTAAGTGAATATAAAAGAGAGATTAGGTCATTCCATCCAGTAAGACAAAGAGCAAGAAGTGATATTGCTGCTATCTACAAAAAAATCTTTTATGAGATACAAAAGTTACTTAAGGCAAAAGACAATGAATGCAACAAAATGAAAATCAACCAGCTATGAGCAACTCCAGGCTGGAAATGAAAGTGAACATTCTGATGGAGAAGTGAATGGAAACAATGTAGACTGAGTTTATACTGAACAAGTTAAAATAAAGATGTTATAACAAGTGGACCCTACTACCAGCTGAAGGTGAATTTTCTAAGACAGAATATATTTTATGTTGATAACAAATAATTTTTCAAAACTACATGGCACTCTTTGTTCCTTTGTTACAAGACGTGTATTCAAAACAATTTCCCATTGTAATGGGAAAGCTGAACTACAGAAGAGGTTCATGGTGGCCCAAGCCACCTCTGAGCTATCAGTGACACCTCGTAGACTCTGTATATCCATTCCTATTATATCATATAAATTACTTTTTATTCCCCAAGCCATTACAGTTTATCATTTTCTCATGGCTGTTCCACATCCACCTTATAGCTTCATAGCCTTCAAACATGTTATGCAACATACCAGGGGGACTCCTGTAGATTTGTCAGTTTTGCCTAAGATAAATAAATAAATTTAGCACAGACTTCAATATTTTTTGTGCTACTTTACACCTACAGTACAGAGTCCAGTAATAAGAACAGACTACTGCAAAATAAAAGATCAACCCATTGCAAACAATTATGTAATATTTATCTAGATTTCTGTTATTTTAATAAAAAAGTCCCACTGCACTCCCCAAAAAACCAACCAACCAACCAAAAAACCAAAACCAAACAAAAAAAACAAGACAAAACAAAACAAAAAGAGAAACACCAAAAAACCCAAACAAACAAAACCACAAAAAAAAAAAAAAAAACAAACCAAAAACTAGTCCAAATATTTATCAAATATGTAAGTTTAATTTTCTTTTCTTTTTTTGGTGTCACTCTCCACTGAGGATCAAGTTCTCATCACACTACACAAGGGACTCCTGCACTAATTCTTAATAGTAGCAATATGGAACTACTGCTAGGATCCTGCCTATTTCTCTTTTTGCAGGAAAAGTCCTGTCATAAAGAGAAATGACATGTTAGTGTTCAGAGCAGAGTCAACAGTGCTGGGATCAGAAATGCTGCCTTTTCCTTAAACATTTCCTTAAACATTACTTTTACTTAAACATTAATTTAAAACCTACTCTGAGACAAATTAATTTCCATGTTGAAATGCCACACACAAAATTTAGCCAAAAGCAAAAACTTAGAAGATCCTGAGGACAGGATTTGCAGAGGAAAGAAAGACTGATAGAACAGCCAACATGGCACCTACTGTCATCGTGCCACTAATATTTAAAGGGCAGAGATATATTAACACTTCCATTTTAAATAATTATTTATGAGATAAGCACTGAAGATATTCTGCTCACTTAAAGATACATCTAGCCATTGCCCTAGAAAACTCTCATGATGAAGCTTTGAAACTGCAAACATCTCTGTGTGTCTTTGTCTGTGACCCAGAGGACTCACTGGAGGTTCAGGAGCACAGCTCTGACTAGAGTCAAAGAAGAGACATAAAGAAAATACCGCACATCAAAAGACACAGAAAAGACAGATAATACACAGCTTTTATAAACTCCCATAAAAAATGTATTTGCTTCCCTAAAGTGAAACTTAAAATAGGGATCTCTTCTGACAGCTTTGGAACAAGCACAGAACAGCCAATTTCTCTGTGCTTCTTACTTACCTCTGTCAAGTAAAAGAGAGAAATTGGAAAAATCCTCACCTCAAATTGCCCTGGAGGATCAGCTCCAGGGAAAGAGAGTAATTTGTATTTCAGTCCAAATCAATTCTTATGCTTTCCACTAAGAATACTAATTGTGATAGCTTTCCTGAGCTGGAACTTGCCCACCAGAAACAGAAGTGATGCCACAGATTCATTGCCAAAAGCACATGCAGAGACTGGGCATCGGATTTCAAAGACTTTTACTGTCAGCCTGCTACAGAACCACGCCAGTCTAGTATGCATGATATGGTCCAGATGAGGACACCACAAACTTTGTCCTGTTCTATATGGGAAAGGCAGAGGGCCTCATGTTTACTAGCACTGAATGCAGGGCTGTGAAATATCCACCGGCCTCAGCAATTTCTTGCTTTGTGCTGGACTGCACAGGCTGGTAAATCAGCCTCTGCAAACCCTCATGCTAGACCATTCCTCAATTCTAAATCCTTCCTTGGCTATAAATAGCTTGATTCAATCTGTTGGCATAGAACGGGACCCCCTCTAACACATAAAGCTTCTAGAGCAATCTCCAAGAGCAAAATCAACACAGCTCAAGCAAAGTTCCTTCTTAAGCCTGAAAGAAGGCTTCTAGTCTTACCTGACACAATCCATTGGTCATTTTGTGCAAGTTGCTCGGGGCCTTAAACAACTTATTTCATCTCTTCATTACTGGCTTTCAGCATTAAAATAAAACAAAAAACCTGCAACTGCACATGACTAACAGTTGAAAATATTTAAAAGCACAGTAACAGTATAGATTTTGTCTACATTTATATCTCTTTATATTTAGGCCTAGAATAAATCTGTAAGTAGGGAAACTGGAGCTATGTTGTTCAAAGGCCAAAGTCATTGTCTTTCTATTGTCATTTACCTCATGTCTCCTGATTCAGAGTAATACTGACAAAAGTATATGAAAGACAAAATAAACACAGTATGCAGATAAACACTTCAGACACGCATACCAAAACCTAGACTTCTGAACCATGCAGAAATGTGGCAAAAATTTAAGAGAGTATTAAAACGGTAGAGAAGAAGCACATCTCCACACATCCTTACAGGCAGAGTAGCTGCATCACTTGTTCTAATTCCCTTCTCATTTCCTTTTCAGCACACTCAAAACTAGTAGTTACAAGTGGCCATACTGTGATAAAATATATGGCTGAAATGACTGCTTAATGCACTTGTCACAGAAGATCTTTATTAGGTATGGAAAAACTGCCCTTTAAATTAAATTTGTGGAGACATTCCACTGCTGGAAGCTCAGTCTTTACCTATACAAATGTGAAGGAAGATATCATAAAACATTTTCCCCAGACTGTGTGTGCATATGTGTTATCACCAGCAACAGATGCTTTGTTGGAATTCTGCACAATATCCATTAAACAGCACAAATAAAAACCAATTGGCCACAAGAAGCTGAACTAAGAAAACTCAAGGTATTTCCCTGGGATCACCTGAAACCTTCAAACAACAAAAAGCATGCTTGAATTATGTTAAAATGCTGTGATCACCCTACCACTTGCTGTGGATAATGAGCTATCCCCTGTTCTCTAGTTGTAAAAGTAAAAGCTGGTATGGTAGAAGACTCAGGGCAATAAGGATTTTTGATGCTCAAGACATTTCTGGATTTACAAATCCGGGTGAGATATGTAGCTCTCTAAACAGCATGTGAAAAAAAAAAAAAAAGCAAGAAAAAGAGATGAAAAGAGATGGAACCAAGAGACACTTAAAAGAACTAAACACTGTGCAAACTTATAGAAAACTCGGCCAAGAGGTTAAAATGTGTCCGTCTTCAGGACGATGATTCTATTTGTATTTCACAGAGGTCTGGAAACCTCTCCTGAAGATTGCTGTCTCAGCTTTCTTCTCAAAAGCTAAGAAGGCTTCACCCTTTCCCACTGTACGAGAAGGAGATGGGCCTGCCTAGGTGAGTTACAAAGGAAAAGGGAGTGTTCAGCTGTCAGATGAATGCATTGCTGAAAACAATCCTAGAAAGAGTAAGGAGTAGCAACTCTGCATGGGATAGATTACATGACATGCTACACATCTCCATTGCTCCTGGTGGTGTCAGTGTCACTGTGTAATGCCTGTGAGGTTAGAACAACACTTGAAAAGAGGTGAACCTTTGGTCTAACTGCCTTCTCTGCCTCAGCAGGGTCAAATCCTGATTTATAGGACAGTGTCTTTCTTTCCAGGCTCCAGGTGAACTGTGGAGAGTCATGATCCACTAGTGTTCAGTATCTGCCACTCATTGCCACAGTTTACAGAGAGGGAAATCCAGCCTTTTACTTACTCCTCTCAGAGTGATTAATATACTTTATATACATGAGCATTATATTTAATGACCACTGAACAAAAATGTACTGGAAGCAGCACAGAACCCTAAGGCTATACCTCTTTATATTTGTACCTTAGAACTAAGTTAATTTTACTTCCTCAAGGATTTACTTCCTTTTAGACACCAGTAATAATTAAGTCTAACACAGGGACCAAGCTACCAGTTGATCCTGACTTGACTGGTGCCAGTTCTTGAATAAGACCAACTCTAGATGTCCACAGAACATTAAAGTGAAAAAATAAGGTAACATTAAATTACAATGAGGTATAGGAGCAGCTGAATATTTTTCGGGATTACAGTTTTCAATTTCAGCAACTACATTTCAGCTAAACTACTTTCAGTTTGACAAACTCTTTAGTGCCCAAAGCTGAAAAGCATAAGCAACTAATTTTGAGGAACAGTGTGGCCACACAAATAATTTAAACTACTGATTTTTAATTAGATTCGACATTACAAAGAATTATTTCATCTTTGCATGTGGATGCACAAAAAAAGGGTTAGGAAGCATGAAATATCACATGAAAGTCCTTGAAACAGAAACTACACTATTTTAATTGAAATGGTTACTTTTAAAACACTACTACTTATTTTATTGGTTAACACAGCAGCCCTAGAATCCGTTCCAGGAATTTTAAAGGATTCAAACACTATCAGTTTCTCAATAAATACATATTTACTGCATAATGTCTTCTTAAATGCAAATCAATTACGTGTACTCTGAGTTTTTTTAATGCAGTGCTATAGTAGTGGCCTAGAATTTAACTAAGCGCAGCACAGCTCCACCCTTTGTCCAACACCACCAGTAATAAACTAAACAGACGAAAGAACCAGTGGCTACACAGGTCACACGTTTCCTAATACTTGAACATATAGAAGTATCATTTGACAGTTAATTCTGTGTTACTGTGTACTAATGTGCTGCTGAAACTGATCTCCCCGCATTAATAAAAGGTTGGGTATTTGAGGGATTTTTGGAGGGGGATGGGGGGGTGCTTTTTTGTTTGGTTGGTTTTTTTCCCCTAGTAGCTCGTTCTTAGGACAAGAGAACCACCAGTTGTTCCCTCAGGTCTCAGTTACAGAATAATGTTGGACATAAGGTTTTGGGAATACAGGAGAGTCAGTCAGAACTCCAGGCTACTACCCCAGCAGCAAGCCTCAGTGTTCAGTTCCAGTAAATAAATAAAGCAGACAACCTGAGCACTGCCGGCAGGACTGTGGCCAGCTGTCGGAGAGCTTCTTTGACAGAGTCTCTGAACAACTGCCAAGAAGCTGCAGTTTAAAACGGAGCTGATGCCTTTCAAAAAAAAAAGAAAAGAAGAACAAAGAAAAAAATCAGCTAAATAAACATGAGATTTAAACGCTGACGCATAAGTTAAGAGCCCAGACATTCTTTTTTGATGGTCCTTTTTACAATTACCTCCTTACAAGCTACCTCCCTCAAGCCCTTCATCCGCTTTCGCAGAAAACTTTAATTCTCAGAGGATCACTTGTTTTTCTGGGAACAAGGAAAGTTTGAGAGAAGTGGCGCGAGCGGCAGGAAGCACCGGACGCACTCAGCACACAGAAGTCGGGGTGCACTGCCGACCCCGGTCCCTGCCGGGCCGGGCCGGGCCCCGCTCCTCGCAGGAGCACCCGGGAAACCCGAACCAAGGCGCACCGGGATGTCCCCGGGCCGGCAGCAATGACGGCCCCGCACACGGCTCAGGCTTGCGGCGGGAAAGCGGCGGGGAGAGGAGCTCGGGGTCCGCGCACCCCCACGCAGGGACATTACCTCGATGTACGGGACGATTTTGCAGGAGAAGTCTTCTAGAAGCCACTTCTTGGTGAGCTCCTGGAAGATAACCAGCGGCAGGCAGAAGAAGACGATGAGGAAGTCCCAGAAGGCTAGGTTGGCCAGCAGGGAGTTGGAGATGCTCCGCATGTAGTAGTTGTGGCAGACGATGCACATCACTGCCATGTTGCCCATGATGCCGATGCCGAAGATCACCACGGAGAGGCACATGACGGCGTAGGCGCCGTACGACTCCTCGGTCAGCGGGTAGAAGGGGTTGCGGAGCCGGGCGCGGCGCCCCGTGGCGTTCCCGCGGCCCCCGGCGCTGCCGTCGCCGCCGGCCGAGCCGTTCAGGGGCAGCCAGCGGGGGCCGCCCGCCCCGCCCCTCCCCGCCGCTGCGCCGGCTCCGGGCTCGCTGCTCCGCGCCCGCCGTCGCCCGGTCCCAGCCGCCCCGCGGGGCGCGCAGCTGCCGCCCGGCCCCGCCGCTCCGCCGGGTGTTCCGTCGGCCCCGCGAGGGAGGGCTCCGCGCCCGGGGAGCGGCGAGGCCGTCCGCCGAACCGGGGCGAGGGGCGGCGGAGCCGGCGGCGAGCGGGCGCGCTGCGGGGACGCCGGTGGCCCGGACGCTGCGACGGGGTCCGGGGCCAGGGCGCAGGCAGCCCACGCACCGAGCACCTGGCAGAGCAGCGCGAGGGGAGCGCGGAGGGGCCGCATGGCCGGGAGGCGGTGGGGCTCACCCGCTCTCCTTCAGACCCGGCGGCCGCCTCGCTCGGCGGGGCTGGGAGCGGGAGACATGCCCACCCGGCTCCCGGGGACAGCCTGCCCGGCCGGCGCCGGGTCAGGAGCAGGCGCTACGCCGCTGCCGCCGGAGCGCGGCTCCCGCTGCCGCGGAGTTCGGGGACGCGACGAGCGGAGCGGCGAGGAGCCTCTTGTCGCCGACTCCCGGGGCAGACCCGGAAAGTTGTGTCGCCGTCTCCGACGCGCCGAGTTAATGTAGCAAGTGCAGCGCCGGGAGAAACCCCCCCCGGCGCTCCGCCCTTTCCCGGGACCGCTGCCTCCTCGCCAGCAGCCGCACCGGTCTCGGGCTGGCCATTTGCGTCCTCTCGCCGCCGCGGGCAGCCAGTGGCTCTACGGGTCAGGAAAGGTCCCTTGAGGAAGATACCTCCCCTCGCCGGGCGGTCGCGAACACTAACTCCACATCTGCAGCACCTCGGAGAGCACAGGTTGTTGCGCGCAGCTCAAGGTGTTTCAGAGCTTTGCAAAACTCCTGCTGGGATCGATCGCTGCACCCCAAGCACTCGCATGCGGGTAGGGGACGGCGAGCATGGCCGGGGCGGCAAGGATGCTGCTGGCGCCGGGCGGGCAAGCCCCAAGACGGACTCCTCGGGGCTGCTCCTGCCTTGCGAGTGGTGCGGGCACCAGGTGAAGCGGGGCGGCAGCCACGGCTCCCCGCGCAGGCAGGGGCTGATGTGTGACGGGCTCTGCTGCAGCTGCCGGCTCCCCGCGGCTCCGGCCCCGCTCAGCCCGGTGCGGCTCGCTGGGTTCGGACCGGCTCCGCCGCGGCTCTCGGGGCGCGCCGGAGAGGCGGGCGAGCGGCGCGACGGCCGCAGTGCGCAAGCGCCGCCCGGCGGCGCCGCGGGGCCGAGGCACCGCCCGCCGGGGCGGCCGGGGCGAGGGGCGGGTGTGGGGCCGGGCCGGGCCGGGCCGGGCCCTGCGCTCCCCGCCAGCCCCGAGCTCGTCTTGTGGGGATGCTGCCCCGGGCGGGGATGCGGCGCTTGCTGGCGCATCCCCGCCGCCGGCTCTCCGTAGCTCACCGGCGCGCCCCGGTCCCAGCGTGTGCCTGCCCTCGTCGGGCCGCGGTGCCAGCGGGAGCGAGGGAAGCGGCAGGCGAGCAAAGCGCCCTGCTCTGGCACCGGGAGTCCCGCCCCGGCACGAACCGCGGGCGGCGGGAGCGGAGGGTGGCTGGGAGGCGCCGGGAGCAGCTGTCGGCACCGGGACGGCAGAGGAGCCGTGAGGGCACCTTGCTGCAGGGGCAGAGGCCACGGACGGGGAGGAAGGGGCGCGTGTTCCCCCGGGAGAGCGCTCAGCGAAGCAGCGGGCTGAGCCAGGGAGAGAGATGGTGTTCACACATCATCCCGCAGGGGAATAGGTTCAGGAGCGTCTCCACAGATTTCTTTCCTGCTGTGGACATTTGTGTATGGCTGTCTTTCTTGCATTTGTACTTCATAGTTCTTTCTCTGATTTTTATTTCATTTTCATTTCAGGTGACAGCTTGCCGAATTTGGATTCAATAACTCTCTAAAATTATAACTATCCTTAAGGATTCTTCATCGCCCCTGCCAGTTGCCATTTTGTTGGGCTTTTGTGTAAAGTGTGCCCAACTAGTTTAAATCTTGGATATTTTTCCCATAAAGCAGTTTGAGAAGGTAGTGTGCTATTTTTCCTTTGAAAAATGTCCATGACAACTTCCCGGAAAACACAAACAGGACAAACAGAGAGTTTTTCCTTTTCTCAAACTGTTCTCTCACACATGTAGGTGAGGTGTAACTGTGGAACCTGTAAGGTGTTTCTAAGTTTATGGGAGTGTAGTGTAGTAAGTTAGGCACTGCTGTGTTGCATATCCCTAAATACAAGTCAAGACATTTTCTTTTTCTTCTCTAGCAATATAAATATAATCTCATGGGAAAAGACCAAGGTAATTTTAAGAATTCCTAATAAATTATAAGTTTAACCTAATAGAGATATTTATGAATGTTAAAAACTAACTAGGGTGTGTTAAAACCTACCAGGAAAAGAAGAGAATGTCAAAAGTATTTAACCTTTTTTTCCCCTACATTTTTCTCCCATTTGTTCCTTCTGAGCTCAGCTGGTGTATAAAAGCAGTTAATGATGATAACGAGCTTACATTTACAGTGCCTTTCTTCCTGAAGAGTCCCAAAGGGCATTACAAACAGATATGATAAATTCACTGCTTGTTCTTAAAGGGTACTGGGGATTATTGCTGCTGGCTTTTATATAAAAGGAGCAGACAGGAGCTAGCAGACATACTGCCCTTCTACATACTTCTGCAAGAAATATGGATCATCAAGAAGAGGGTTAAGCAGTGTTTGGTTGATATCACTGATCCTGTAATGGTGAGATAAGAACTGGGTTGTGCGTAGGTTTTCCAGTGTCAGCATTTCATGTACTTTATAATGGAGAAAAATTATTTGTGAATACAAAGAAAAGTATTATAAACTCTTATCTTTGTCACATTTCTTTTGGTCCATTAAGTATTTTGTTTGTTGCAAAGAACAGCACATACAGAAAATTTGGATTTTTTCAATTGTATTCAGCCAAGCTAAAAAGGTCTTTTGCTGGCTTTAAAAGCAGTTGATTTGCCATTATGATAGTCTCCTGTTTACTACTGATGCTCTGTTAAATACTGAAAGTTAATGTCTGAAAATTGCATTTTTCAAGTACCTTTGGTTCCAAGTATTTATTTGAAATTTTGCTGCAGTCCATAAAATTTCCGAGTTTTTGTTTAAGTTTTTTTAGGGAAGGAGTTCACTATGCATTTTTGGGGGGCTGATGGTGCATTTGTCCCATGTCTTTCAAATAATTCTGTTACTTCTTATGATAAGATATTCCTTTAGGATAAAGCTTCTACTCCATTATTTTCTGATACAGCCTACAGTTCATTCAGGCTTTCACAACTCTGCTGAAGAAGTTGTACATGTTTTGACAGTCTCTACCAATTCACGCATCAGCCTAGAAACAATCTTGAAAACCACAAGCAGACTTTTATATATATAACAAGTTTAAAGAAAATAAAACAACTCACAAACAGCCAAAACATTTTTCTCTGTTAGATGGGGGAACTAAAATTCACAGATGTTTTTGCAGCCAAAATCTATAAAAGGAACACCAATAAGCCTGTTCCTACATGAAAAAAAAATAAAATTGAAAGGTTTCCAAATACATTCTTTCTGTTCTGTTGGTGTTCTATGATATTTCATCTATGATAAAAAAATCAATAGGCTTTCAATGCCTGCACTGCTGTTTTTTTTTACATCTCCAGTATTTATTACCTGAATAAGAAATACTGAACATGTTATTGTGTTTCAGCAAGAAGGGATTATTGCTGTTCTTTTTACCTCTCTTCAGGGTTCATGGAATCACAGAATGGTTTGTCTGGGAAGGGGCCTTGAAGATCATCTGGTTCCAGCCCTCCTGCCATGTATCTCCCATAGACCAGGATGCACAGAACCCCATGCAACCTGGCCTTGGACACTTCCACAGACAAGGCATACACAACTTCTCTGGGGATCTTGTTCCTCACCACCCTTGCCATAAAGAATTTCTTTCTAATATCTAATCTGAAACTACTCTCTTTCATTTTGAAGCCATTCTCCCTTGTCCTTGTAAAGTGTCTCTCTCCAGCTCTCTTTAGCTGCTGGAAGGCTGCTTTAAGGTCTCCTCGGAGCCTTTTCTTCTCCAGCCTGTCTTGGTAGGAGGGGTCCTCAATCTCTCTAAGTATCTTTGTGGCCCTCTTCTGGACTAGTCTCGACAGGCACATGTTTTTGTTATGTTGGTGTCCCCAGAGCTGAACACAGCACTCCAGGTGGGGTCTCACCAAAGCAGAGGGGCACAATCCCCTCCCTCAACCTGCTGGCCGTACTTCGGGTGCAGCCCAGAATACTGTTAGCAATGCTCAACAGTTCATCACTGAAGAAGAAAGAATATATTCCCCAAAACAACTTCTGTCTTTTTTGTGTTGTACTACAGTGTGCTCAGCTACTTCACACTAATTTATTCTTCCTTGTTTCGGCAGATTTAATAGGACCACTTCTTTGTCTGTAAAAAAGGTAGATTTGTTTATGTTGTCTTCTTATATCTCACTGGATTTTGTTGTGTAAAGTCTGAATTTGAAGAGAGCATAATTACTGTGATGTGGTATCGTTGGGCTTTTTATTTCAGACAGAGAGAGATTAGATACTCTAATCGACAGGAGTAATTTTGTTGTTGAATTAAGTTTCTTATTGGTTGGGCCAGACTCTATAATAAAACAAATGCTGAAAAATTTGAAATTTAAATTAAAAAAGAATTTGAAGTTTAATGATAATATTTTAACTTTCTTGTAATTAGTATTTTGTGCATTTTTTGACATCCATTAGGAAACCTTCTGATATTTCCTGAGTATAGATTGCTCTTCTTGTCTAGTTTCACATTTTAAATTATAGTGCTTTTCCCTTTAACTTTTCTCATTTGCTGAAGTTTGAATTCTGTTTTAAAGGATAAATGTCTGCTCATGTCACACAGTCCAAATAGATTTGTTTGATAAGTTACCTTTTTTTGAAAGAGAAGTTTTAGCAACTCTTCAATTACAGTTAGTAATAAAACAAAACACCAAGTGTATATATTCCATGGAAAACTGTAATGTGATACTTGCATTGCTGCTTTTCTGTCCTTTTTTTAAGGTGAATGACTGGAAGAATAAGTTATATTTATATGATGTAGAACTGTGGGAAAGAGTATCTATTATTAGTGGGTATCCTTGATAGAACATAGTTTAAGACAATGAAGGTGAAGCCAATGTGTGATGTCCGTCCACAAAAATTCGTTCTATTCTAATCACTTTTACCCTTAAGTTCATCTTCACAAGTTTCTGTACAGAAAGTGCTCAAACAGTAAATGTCTCAATAATAAAGTGAGATGCAAAGACTTCTCTTTTT